CCGATGACAGAGTCTTCAGCCCTTCTCTTGTGGATTCCAGTTGGTCCTAGGATTTATTGAGATGCTCTGTGCCAGGTCTGGTTAAAATTCTGCAGTTGAATGAAGTCGTGAAGCTAATTTTGAGTCAATTAAAACACATGATAATGGAGTTGGAGTTTCAGTGAAGTTCTGCTGGGAAATTCTAATCTCGAAGTCTTCACCTTTTGTTTAATTGAACAAGCCATGTTTTTTGTTTGCCTTAGAACTGTTATCATCCAAGGACATTACTTGTAGAATGATGTAGTATTCTTTTATTGCTTGTTGTTTTGGCGATCTTTACACCATGTTTTTATGCCATTTTCTTTCATGATATTGCCTTGCTATCGTACATTAGTTTGTATTAGTGACGAACTGGCATCAATCGCCAAAACTCGATTAATGCTACTGATTCAAATATTTTGCATGATTAGCATAGGTCCTACACTACCTGTGGACTAGGGAAAGGCTATGCTTGCCCTTTTTCTTCGACCAGTAAATATGCTAGCCCTTTGTCCATGTAGTTGTTGCCTATGTAAAAGCTAGATTGTTTATGAGAAATCTATGCTTCTGTCGCCTGTGTAGCTGTTTCTTTATCTGAACTTAAATGAAAATAGTGGGCTTAACAATTGCTTTTGGAGACTCACTATGACATAGCCGTACAAACAAAGGTAGCCTTCCATAAGCACCTGATGAGCAATAGATGGCGATTTGTATAAGATTCACTGGTTTTAGATCTATGGTTATCTTCTGTCATTCAGAAATTTGAGCTAAGAGTTGTAAGATTATTATTCCAAGATAACCTTTGTATCGTGGTTGACCTTACTCCAAGTTTTGCATAAGAGTTATGTCTACATATAATTCAGAGGCATGCTTCTTATGAGCCCAATGTGCTTTTTCTGTAGGAATTACTTGCAGTAAATGGCTTCTTTCCGAGCTTTCCTGAACAGTCCTGTTGGCCCCAAAACTACTCATTTTTGGGGACCTGTTGCAAACTGGGGATTTGTGGTCGCTGTATGCTTCTCTTCTACTGTCTATTTCTATGTGCCCCAATGAAACATCTTATAGTTTTAGCTTTTCTACTGGTGATTTATTTATTTGGTGCTTCCAATAGGGATTGGTTGACATGCAAAAACCGCCAGAGATGATATCAGGCAACATGACAGCAGGTTAGCGATTTCTGATCCAAGAAAATGCATCAATTTTATCTTCTTTTCATGTCCTGCTAGACACAGTTTTCACCTCCTAGTCTTTGTTGCAGCTATGTGCATATACTCAGCACTGTTTATGAGGTTTGCATGGATGGTGCAACCACGCAACTATCTGCTTCTTGCATGCCACGCTTCAAATGAAACCGTCCAGCTCTATCAACTCTCCCGTTGGGCGAAGGGTCAGGGGTAAGTACCAACCACAATATTGGTTTAATAACTCTTTGGATGTTACCTCCAGTATACAATGAAAATTTCTTTGGCCTATTCATCATTATTGTTTTTATCTGATGTCAATTATTGTAGTGCACATGACTGGGAGATGCGTAAACAGATGAACATCATTTTACTTTGCTGTTTTCTCTATCTAGGTACTTGTCAGAGAAGAAAGATGAAGCCTCGTCACAATGATATGTTGCTGGGTCTATCTTTCCTCGTTCCATTTGTCTTGTGATTTTTTCACAGAAGTTCCTCAAAACAGTCTGCTTTTTATGCTATCAAAACCGCAATAGGCATGACTTGAGCGATCAAAACTGGATTTGCATATTTTGGTGTTGCAATTTACAATTTATGTTCAACAAATGATGCTTACAAGTTACGAGTGCACGTACGTGAATGGATAGGATCACGCTGTCTATTTGTGCTTGCAGTGAAAAATGACATCATACAATCTATGAATGTACTCTGCAATCAATTAGTCAAAGATTATTTACTTGTGGGGAGAGGAGTCAGGAAGCAATCTCTGTGGTTTAATGGTGAAATTTCCCCCATCCGGTTTAGTTTGGCATTTGGGTTATTGGGTCTGTCGTATAATTAGCAAAATCGATTCTCGTGGTCCCGCATTGATATCGATCTAGTCATCCTGATATCATTTGCTTGGAAAAATAGTGATTCATGTATTTCTCCAGATTTATAGACTTATAATGCATTGAATAGGCTTCTCGAGATTCTTCGGAAGAACAATCTTAGGTAAAAGAACAATCTTCTGTTTCCTATTTGAAATAAATTCAATGTACAAGTCCTAGATTCTAAGGGTGCGTTTGTGTCACGGAAAACTCAAAATTTGAAAAATATTTTTTAAAAAATAATTGGTTATATCATTTAGAAAAATTAGTTAATGGTAAATGTTATCATTATTAACAACAATTTATGATTAACTATGCTCGTGGGAAAATATTTTTCTTTTTATCATTTTTGTAAACTTCACAAGCTATTATTTTTCGAAAAATATTTTTCAAAATTTGAATTCACCCCCTCAAAATCTTTTGTAGCGTAGCTAGATTGAAAGCTTTCACTCTAGAATATAACCTAACAAATTTATCTCCATAAAAAACCCAAAATTATTACATTTATGACAAATTTGCTCTCTGTTAGTTTCCGTTAAATTTTACCATCAAATTACTGAGTTGGATGACACGTGACAGATGTACCAGTTTAGGGTTTTACCTTTCATTTGTCACAGATATACCAGTTTGTCATTTTTCGTTGTATTAATTCAATTTAACGGAAATTAACGAATGGTAAATTTGTCACAAATGTATCAATTTAGGGTTTTTGGCAGTAAATTTGTCACGGGTGTACCTGGATTGATGGTGGTCAAAAAATTAGTTTGGGATAAATTTGAAACAAATGTACCAGTTTTGGGTTCTTATATGATATTAACCCTATAATTTATCCAAGGCTAGTGATTTCAAATTAAAAACAAATAATTCGAAATGGGTTGTCGATTTATTGGTTGGTTTCGGTTGGGGTAAGTCAACAAATTGAATTCCAACTTTAGTTCTAAAATTTGAGTAAACTCCATTTTTTAGACAATTAACTAACATGAAAGAAGCGAAAGAGAAGTTGCACAAAGAGAAGCGTCTCATTCAGATTTTGTATCTTTAATGCTATCCTCGTAATCAGTCAAAATGCAATTTTCTTTTTCATGTAAAAGCACATGGGCTAATTAAAATTTCTTTAACTTGTTTGGATGCATATCGATTGGAAATGAAGAAAGGTTGTTCAATTTGTGAATGGACTCAATTATCTTTTGTCTTATTTATTCAATAAGTCATTATGAAAGAAAAGGGCAACATTTGCATTTTTTATTTCCATTTTCTATTTGTTTTTGGAAGGAAATAGAAGGTCAACTATAAGGATATTTTTCTTTCTGTTCAAAATAAATTTGGGATAGTGGTACCACTTTAGAGGTTTTTGTGGGTCCAAAAATGGTTTGGGATAAATGCGTCTAAACAATATCCATTTAGAATTTTCTGTAGTATTAGCCCTAAAAATAATAATTCATATTCCACTTTGTGAATTGAGAATTGAAATATTTCTTACTTAGTTATTTAATAAGTGTTGCGGATACTCTCATGAATTCCTTGATAAAAACACTAATTGAAATAAAATCACAAAGATATCAAATAAGATTTTCTTCAAACGACATCTTTTTAGTTATTTTAGGAAATTGAAATGGCTTTTGATGCATTCAAATGGTAATCATTTCATGCCCGGAAACTAATGCTAGGACATTAATTGTGTGTTTGGTATGGCTTTTTTTTGCAAATGCTATGGTTGTGAAATGAGGTGTTTTGGCTTTTCAAGGCGTTGCGTAATAACCACGCAACTGAAGTACTTTCACAGCAGCTTCCACAAAGGTGTATATAGTAGTTTTGGGTGTCGTAACTTTCAATCTTTTTAAAGATTACTTTATTAGGACAACAATATTGTGAATATCTCTCCATAGGACTGCCAATGATCTTTCCAAAGTGAAACTGACTTTCCGTTTCCAACAATACATTTGACACAAGACTTTAGAATTGTTAGAATATGTCTTAAGTTTGAGCAATAAAAAAAACCCCATTTTAGCAGATTTCCTTATCTGAGTAGGTTTCTTAATTTGAGATTGAATAGATCTTTTAAAAGGATTTTCTATTTTAGATATAAATATTATGCATATGTAAGATATAGAATTCTACTCGGTGAACACACACTAGAACATACAAAATGAGTGTTAGGTTTTCGTTCTGTGAGTTGTTCAATTGAGTTTTTCTTGAGAGATTGTGACACGCTTGTGGGTTTGATTTGGGTGCAATCTAGAGCTGAGAAAACTTTACCGATTGAGTAATTATAAACTAGTCCCTAAACTATATGAAAATATTCAATATTGTTCCTGAACTTAAATTAACGGAAGGATAAAATTAAACATTTTCATGTAGTCTAGATAATAACTTGAACATGTACAAAAAGTCTGAGGATTACATTAAACAAATTAAAAGTTCATGGACCACATTGCATATTAAATCAAAATTGAAGGACCAGTCATTTTCCCTTTCAACTAATACTTTCAAAATTAATGAGAGAACATGGTTAATGGCTATTCGAAAAATTTCATATTACGGGGACGAGACAATAAATTCTAAATAAGGGGCCACGACCATTGCCATCAGCCGTAGGTCCGCCAATGCACATGGTAGAAAGAATATTTTTAGGGTATTTATGAATTGAGGTCACACATTTTGTATAATCTCCCTCAAATAAAGTTAATCGCGGATAAATGTTCCGTCCTTGTTCGCCCGCACCTAATTTCACTTTGTCTAATTTTTACATCTAAAATGTCATATTTTATAAATAATTTAGGACATCTCATTTTTTTTTGTTGAAAGGTCATATCATTTGAAAATTACGATATATATATATATATATGTATATAAATCTATACATGGTAATAATAACGGTATCTCGACATCAATGGAACAAAAGGGAAACCCATTTGCTGACGTTCACGTTTTCGATTCCCAAGAAGAAGCATTGTCGCACGGCACACTCTCTCTGTAACCCAAGCCCAGCACTTCACTCCTCCATCACTGTCGCTCTCTCTCTCTCTCTCTCCTCTGTAATCTCTTCCTTGAAGCAGCTGCTAACCTCCCGAAAGACGACGGATGTCCTTCTATACCGAGTTCTTGAACTGGGCTGATGGATGCGGCACGTGAAGTGCGGCAGTAGCTCGGTTCTCCCTTTTCCCATCGGCAAGAACTCGCAAGACTTTTCTTGGATCATGGCGTTTAACCTGGAGTCCATCGCGGAGGCCACGTCCGGAGCCGTCGGAGCTCTGGTCAGCACCACCGTGCTCTACCCGCTCGATACCTGCAAGACCAAGTATCAGGCCGAGATTCGATCCCGCAACCATCAAAAGTACAGGTGATGAGATATTTCTCCCTCCTGGGTCCCGCTCATGAGCACGAATTTTTGATGTTGTTGTGTTTTATTTGAGCATAGTTTCATTTTAATCATGATGGTTAGCGTTGCTTTCTTGATGTTTTTGGATCAGGGTCTTGTGTTAACAATGATAGTTTAGCTTGAGAAGATGCTCTTGCGTGAATTTCTTTTAAGTAGTATTATGTGTAGTTTTCTGATTCAAATGGTGCGTGTGTTTTCAGTAATGTGATGTTGTTGGTATATAACAATGGAATGAGTCAGAATCAGCAATGGAGATATCAAAATTGCAGTTCATCTCACTGTTCTGTTTCTGCTTTTGACGCGAGTCGAGATGCTATATAGATAGAATGGTCGTCGGCGACTTCAATGAGATTTTTCAAAGTTAATGAGTGTCTAGATGGATCCTTGTACCATGGACATAGAAATGGCGCAATTGGCGTGGCCTTGGATTCGCCTGAGGAATTGTTTCGAGTTTCAACTGAAGGTTTTAAGAGCACAGACATCCGCTGGATGCTAGACTTTGAGGAAGCCTTCATTGTGTCAGGCAACTGTTTTTGCCGAGAAACGTCAGGTTGTATGCAGGAATCATGAATTCAAACTCAGTCCCTTATATCTCATGCTTCTTATAGCTTTCAGAAATCCACTGTCCATTTATTCTTTGATTTCTGCTGGAATTATTCCTCCAAGTACTCCATTGTACTCTTGCCGATGAATGAATCTGAAAAGTGCACCGTGGAGAACGTTCATCATTGATGGGATAATCTAGGACCAGGTCACATGCAAATACTAGGGGATTGTTTTGTTCAGAGCATATAGTCAAAGTGGGTAAGTGACAGTTCTCACACGGCTGAAATATCACAATCTATGCTTGCTGGACTTTGATTCCCAACTTGTGGGACTCTTTGGAGGTTTCTGTGTGGTTGACTATAAAACCCAGTTGTTCATTGTCCTTTAGTTTTCAGCATGTCAGTGTTTTTTTGTTTAAAACATGTTTGGTTGTTTATATATGTATCATGCAAGATAACTTGATGCTGTGCATTTCCTGGTTTCTGCTAAAACTGATTTGGTAGGTGTCTAGTGTTTATGTTAAGTGTTGATTGTACATTGCTTTTGCAATGTCCTTTGTAGTTGGATGGGTTTGAATTGTCATCAAGTCTGTAGAATAGCAAAAACAAGGTTATTGCTGACAAGATGTGAAGCCAGGGTATATGTGTTTTTATTACACCAAGGACTAACTAACTTGGAATTTTCGAACTAGTTGGAGTCAATGTTGCTGGTTCCTTCATGTTATTTCAAATTTCTAGACCTTCCATGCTTATGGAGATGCCTGACCTGTTTCAGTGTTCATATCCTCATCCAAGTTGCTGACATGGAACTTCTGAAGATAGCTTGTATTCTGTGTTTTGCTTCTTCAGAAACATTTCAGATGTCCTATGGGAGGCACTATCTACTCGTCAGATTCTTTCATTGTACCAGGGACTTGGGACGAAGAATCTCCAATCTTTCATTTCACAATTTGTCTACTTTTATGGATATAGCTTCTTTAAGAGACTTTACTTGAAAAAGAGCGGCAATAAAAGTATTGGAACGAGAGCAAACCTGATTATTGCAGCGGCAGCTGGAGCTTGTACTGTCATTGTGACACAGGTAGTTAACATGGGCTGTTCTCGTGTCTAAAATGATAGACAATATGAGAGGAAGGGATTGGTATTATTTATCTTGAAAACACAAGGGAAATATGGAGAGGTGTCACAAGTAGAATGCTAACAAAGGAGTCAAACCATTAGGTTAATGTCTAATGCGATGCCTACAACATCTGCTAATCTTTTTGTACCATTGATGAACTCACAGACATTGAGACGACTGAAAAGGCACTTTTTCGCCAATTTGTTTAAAATTCACTTCTTCCATAATAGTGTTAATGTCAAGAGTGAATAGATCTGTTTCCATTTGATCTTTTTCAGTAGTCTAATATCAAAAGCATGATGCAGCCTTTGGACACAGCATCATCCAAGATGCAGACAAGCGAATTTGGTAAATCTAAAGGACTTTGGAAGACCTTTTCAGATTTCACATGGGGGGAAGCATTTGATGGTCTTGGCATTTCTCTCCTCCTAACAATAAATCCATCTATTCAGGTAGGTGATTCTCTTTTAATATGTAGTCACATGTAGAGAGCACCTACTTTACAGGGCTGTGAGAATCTCGAGGTTATCATGTATAAAGATGACTATGGGCGTTCTGTCCTAAAGACAAAAAATTGGCATCTAATGCATTCTCACATCCCCAAGATCCGTCTTAATACATGATGTTACTGGAATAGCTGATTTCAGGAACTTATTGCTGTTGTATAATTTAATGTTATTTGATTCCAATTCTGCAACTTTTTGAGAGAGGGTTAAACTGCATATCAACTGTTACATCCCAAGGAAACAACCTGATGGCAGCTAGTAGAAATTAAAATCCACCTGATAGAATCATTCCAAAAATGAAAAAAGAATCCACCTACTGGAACTATAGATATATGTTTTTCTTATTTTTATGTCTAGTTGAAAAGGTTAAATGCAGACAGCATAGTTAATAATGGAAGTACTTTTGTATTCTACAGTACACTGTATTTGATCAGTTGAAACAGAGATTGTTGAAGACAAACCAGAGCAGAAGTAGTGGCACAGGGTCATCTCCTGAGTCTCTTTCTGCCTTTTCAGCTTTCGTCCTGGGTGCAGCTTCCAAGTGTGTTGCGACCTGCATAACATACCCAGCTATCAGGTGAACTTATTAATTTTTTCTTTTCCTGACACATGGTCTAGTTTAACCTAATTCTTGAATACATAGTTATGTTACAATAGTCAGTTGGGATGAACGAATGGTAATAATTACAGATTTTTTCTTCGTCTTGTCTGCTGATTCAGTTTATGCAAAATACGTTGATAGGAGGCCTTTCATAAAAAAAGTTTGATGGAAAGATACTGCAATCGCAATACTGATCTGTATAGATCACTCCAATTTTCTATAGAAACCAAATACTTTGATATTGTGATAAGTTGTCGACCTAAATACGAGCTTAATAACTACTATCTGCTTGGAATAGTTTTCCAGAAGCTTGATAGAAGATATTTTGATGATGCCTTGTAAGTGATGGTTCATTGAGCGATGTTAGTCTAAAAATGAGGGGCTTCTTTGGTAATACATGCTTGTTCACATGCTATCAGTCAACCTTAATTAAAGGAGCAGTAGTAAATCTATGAGATACTTAATTCCACATATTTTCCAGCCCTTTATGAGGTTTAGAACTTCAAGACTCTAATTGTGTGTTCCTTGGTTGTCCTCAACTCCCTTTTGTTTTTCTGTGACTTCTACAGTACCGTCGACAAAACTAACTTCTATCTAATTTTGAGACAGGTGTAAGGTCACGATTCAGGCCGCGGAATCAGATGAAGACGAGACAAAGGAATCTCAGCCTAAAGCCGAGAAGACAGTTTCTGGTGCAATGTACGCGATTTGGAGACGAGAAGGCTTGCTGGGTTTCTTCAAAGGGCTGCAAGCTCAGATCCTGAAGACAGTGCTAAGTTCAGCATTACTCTTGATGGTTAAGGAGAAGATCACAAAGAGCACGTGGGTTTTACTGCTTGCACTTCAAAGGTATATTTTGGTCAATCGTATCAAATTAAAGAATGCTTGATGATTAGTGCATGTCATCAAAGTAGCCGGTTGTAGAACGTCGGGATCCCGAGGTTGTGATTGAGGGCCTGTTCCGGGGGAAAGGGAAGATAAATCAAATTTCTAGCCAATGGCAACGTCGACCGTTTCCCCTTGTTTAATAATGTGGGAATGGTTTAGGTTTGTTAAAGGATCATAAGTAGATATCTTGCTAGCTTTCTCTTAATGCATATGTGATGTTACTTTCCTGATCGGATGTGATTTGCTTGCGTGCTAGAAAATCAAGTCCAGAAATTCTTTCTTTGTGGAGAAAATGAGCTCTGTCAGCCAAAGAAAAGAATTCATATTGCCTCGCATCCCCCAATTTCCCCCGTATCTTTGTCTTCGCTGGGGGGAGGGAATACTCTCTTGTTGCTTTACATCCTAGGGATCCCGAGATACGGACGAGCCTAGGATGAAGCAGTTTAAGGACATATTTACATCCAAGAGAAAATGAGCTCTGTAAGCCAAAGAAAATAATTCATATTGCCCGTATGAATGCTGATACTGATCCAACCGGGTATTTGCACTTTTAGATTGATGCCATTGGCATCTCCCTCGTGTGATTTTTTCTTAAACAGGTTCTCTTCTCTTGTTTAAAATGTTTGAGGTAACTTTCGGCTCACCATATGTATTATATGTTGTGATATAACGCGAAAGCTAATGGGATCTTGCAATTAAATTAATACGAAAATCACTAGAGAAATAAATGAGGAATAATAAAGGACACTTAGAAATTTACGTGGTTCGATTCGGGTATCGGTACTTATTCTACGGGGAGAGTTAGTAACAAATAATTCATTGATCAAATCGAAAAGTCAGAGTTACAGTCGCTCACGTGCTTGAATGTTTTCCCACACTTAAGTTATATACAAAACCACAGTGTTTAGCCTTACGGAGAATTATTTCGCAGCTCGAAACACTCGCGTCTCCATCAAGGAAACGTCACAACAGGGCGTAGGATCTCTGCACAAATCACCATGTGTTTATGGTCAAGAAAGGAGAAAATTATCTAAAAAATTCTAAATCTATTACATTTTTATCAATTTAGTCTTAAATTTTTTAATTTTATCAATATAACTAAACATTTTCACGTTTTGCAAAATAAATAATAAGAGAAAAGAAAGGAAAAAAAGAAAATTAATAAAAAATTCGAAAAAATATTAAAAAATGTCCACGTCAGCAGCCATATCACGTAGGACGGATTTCCAATCAACATTGGTCGGATTGACTCAATTGGCAAAACATAAAAAGACTTAGGACTTAATCGATATAATTAAAATGTTTAAGATTAAATTGACAAAAGTATAAAAAAAAATTTAAGATTTTTTGGATAATTTTCCCGCTTAAAATGTCCCTGCTTGAAAACTTCACCGGGCGTGACCTTGAACGATGAATGATTTTTCGGTTTTTAGTAAAGACGTCTGTTTTTACGCGGCCATAAGGTGATGATCCCCTTCTTTTCTCCTCTTGCGGCTTTCTTCAGTCTCCTGCGCGGCTTCGTAAAATGAGAGCCCACTGTTCGGCAATCAACAAAGAAAGTCAAAGCTCAAGTTGGGATCCTTCTTTTATCCGGTCAACCTTGGAGATTAATCTCCAATAGATAACAAACCCTCATGTGACTTTGTGTCTAATTCAATTACGAAAGTGATCCGTTGGGATTTCTTTTATTTTCTAACGAATTCGGTTTAGCAAAACGACCTACATTCTCCAACCGGATCGGGTTTCGTACACGGGGCTCAAACTCGACATAATATTAGCAATCTTCATCTTGACGCAACGTTTGCAGCCCAAGTCACGGTGTTTATCAATCATGGTAGCTCTCCCCACGCACCGATGGTGCACTCAATTACCATGGACGTTTATCAAGCCCAAGCAGAGCTTGAACTTGTCTGGAGGAATGAACTCGGTCCACAGGATTCTTTGACGCAAGAAACTTCTTTGTGGTCACATTCTCTCTTGACATGTTATATCCGACACAGAAATTTCGATCACCAATAAACTCGATACTCAAGTGATATCCCTGATTTCTATCGAACACCACATCAACCGGATGTCTCACATCAACATTATTAACCAAGTCATTAGACTACACCACATCTTCAACTCCTTCCATTGTTACCACATTTCAAGTCTCAATTGTCAACGAATCCATTGTGTCTCCCAATGACGCCTTCCAACTCAACTCATAGCACAACTAACATAAGTAGAGGCATAGCTGCTCAGTAGTTGACCATCTTTCAAGTTCCTTGTGTGACCCTGGTTCACAAATCTAGTTACAGCCACACTGCCAAAACAACATCCTCCAAAAGGTACCCCAACGTCTATCATCCTCATAAATCAAGAGAATCCACTTGACACCATCAAAATGCATACGTAGATTAATCGTCTAACTTCTCCTGACTGCATGTGATAGATCAAGCTTAGTACTATCCATGGCATAACTCAGACAACCAACAGTACTAACATTGAAGCATGGGACAAATGCTCCACCTCCGTCCAAGTACACAATGACACATTAAACAATTTATAAGATGTAGCGAAAGGGGTACTTACAGAATTTTGAAACTGCATGTTGAAGTGCCTCGACGCTTTTCTGACGTAACTCTTCTGAGTCACTCGCAACATTTCAGCATTCTCTCTCTACATCTCCATACCCAAAGTTGTCTATATTGCACCCAAATTATCTATTTTAATATCTGCATACAATTGTCGTCCTATCTCATCCACTTCTGCCGACCACCTCGAAGCTTCATCAACTACGACCTCGAAACAACCATCAACTACTATGAAATCTAGTGACTTTGCAGACACTGTCACGTATATTGTACTCTGAACATCTAGGCTCTATCTGAAGTTCCACTTGTCTAAACACTGTCTAGATCTTTCTCCAGAATTGATCTCTCACTCCTCTTTGAAACAGAGCAGATTCGTCAAAGATGATATCTTTGCTAAATATAAAAGTGGGTGAATCCTCTTCAATACACCGTAGCTTGTATCCCTTCACCTCACTTTCTTATGCATAGTTACAATGCACCATCACTCACGCGAGCATAAGTAGGGCAAACGAACACGATCAATTTGGTCTCAGGAGTTTCCAATCAATTGTTGGAGATGGTGAATTGTTCAATAACCAACAAATGGTATTTATTGCTTCAGTTCAGAAATCTTCATCTAATCCAATATTGAAGGGTAAAGGGCGAGCTCTTTCCAATATAATTCTATTTGTTAGTTTTGCCACTCCGTTTAGCTGTGGTGTGTTGGTAATAATGTAATGTTTCACTATGCCTTCCTCTGTGTAAAATTGGCCAATCTCATCAGTTAAGAATTCCAACCCTTTATTAGTCCTTAAGCACATGATCTTTCTTCATATAAGCTTTTCAATTATTGCCTTCCACGACTTGACCAAGCACCTCACTCTTGTGCTTAAGAAAACAAATGCAGAATTTCCTCGAAATGTCATCAACAAAAGACAACACATACCAGGCACTCCCCTAGGACAAAACTTGAGAGGGTCCGTATAAGTCTGAGTGTACACAGCCTACAATCTTCTAGGTCCAGTGAGCTGCAGTAATGAACTTCACTCTCCGCTGACTACCCATGTTAGAGTATTCACAAAAGTTTAGTTTCTCAATGTATGGCCTCCTAATAAACCCCTATGACTTAGAACAATCATCTCCCTCTCACTCATGTGTCCAAGTCTCTTATGCCACAACTGTTGTATCTTGACCTAAAGCATAAAACAATCTAGTAGATTAGCCAATTACTGCCTTTCCCTCGAGGCTACACAACCAATAGTCTATCTCTCCCGCATCACAAAAAGCACGACTTGAGAAACCTTCAAAACTCCAATTTCAGTAGGAATTCGGTATTCAAACTTGTTAAGAGCACTCAATGAGATAAAATTCTTTCTCAGCTCCAGTAAATGCCTTATGTTAGTCAATGTTCTCACCACTCCATGGTGCATCTTAATATGAATTGTTCCAAGCCTTACCACTTTACAACCAGCACCATTTCCCATAAGCATCTTACCACCCTCTGTGTATTTATAGGTAGTAAACCAGTGTCTATAAGAAGTCACATGATAAGAACATCCATAGTCAAGTACCAATCATCACCTGACGAACTCGTGGTGATTATTAACACAACATCAGCATCACTAGAACTATTATCTGCTGTGGTAACATTATTATTATCGGCTACAAACTTTACCTTAACTCCTTTACCGTTGTACTTTGGGCATTCTTACCTGTAGTGCCCTACCTCATCATAGTGATAACATCCACGATATTGGACCTCGCTGTAGAACGGCTGTTCTTGCTACCTCCAGACTCTTTTTGTTCGTCTCTACCTTGGATAACCAAACCTCACGCCGTATTTTGGGCTAAGTTATCTTCTCATAGTCTCTTTTGCCACACTTTAGAAAACAATAATCCAATAATCGTAGTGAGCCCGTTTAGCAGTGAATCTATTAAGTGCTCAAAAGAATTCGGTATAGATGCCAACAATATAATACATTGTTTCTCATCAGGCAAAGCTTCACTGACATTCTTCAAGTCCATGAGTTTATTAAACTCATCTAAGTGGGCCCTGAAAGCAACCGTCCATAATCGAAACATCCTTTTCAACATATACAAGCGATTATTCAAATCCTTCATCAGATAAAGTGCCTCAAGTTTTGTCCACAATGCTGCAACATCCTTCTCTTCGGCCACTTCAACCAATATCTCATCCGATAGGTTCAACATGATTATACTCCTTGTCGTCCTCATTAGCACGTCCTTTTTGGCATTTTTCAACGTTTCATGCAACTTAGGTACTGCATGATAACCATTCTGGTTCAGTCCAGAACTGATTTTTTGTTCCCGGAATCAGTTTTGGACCAAAAACCCGTTTGGTAACGCAAATTTATTTTTCTATTTCTGGGACAAATTTTTGTCCCAAAACCGGTTCTGAACCAGAAATTAGAACAAAAAAAAAGTTGGTTTTCAATTTCTTGAACAAAACTCAGAACCATTTCTGAGGAACTCGTTCACTGAGATCTGCTGCCCGTCTCTCTTGTCTGGAACAAAACTTAGAATCACCCGCCTGTCTCTCGTCTCCGGAAGACTCTCCGTCTCTCTCTGTAGTCTCTGTCGCCGTCGAGAAGCCAGCCGCTCGTTCGCTTGCTCCGACCGAGAGGAAGCCATGGCCGCTCGCTCGCTCGCTCCTGCTCCACGTAAGCTCCGATCTCCCCTCATCTCTCTCTTTTCTGGATTTTCCAGTCGCCTTCATC